TATATTTTTTGCGCTTTCTAATTATATTTACTTATTTGTAGACGTACGCGTCACACGATGGATAGTAACCGTGTTCGGATTCCATTTCGGTTTCGTTGCATTCACTTTCGCTCAAATAGCTATGAAAGGTATGAATTCATCTCAAAGCCTATGTAGACTCAGAGAAGCACTTAGTGTGCAGCTGATGAAATGGTCGATAAGTTTACAATCCGACTGGTATTGTTTAATCAATCAATATGTTATTCGGAAATGGCCGTGTCGTCTAACGACTATTATCGTGTTGTTCATATTCCAGCCTAGTCCCTTGCGTCCCCTTTCTTACAAATACCATTGTGCAAGTCATAAATCCAAGTCATCTACACGCCATCTATAGTTTAAATAGCAGAGCAGGGGACAGAGAGATCTCTGTAGCCTTAGCTGTTGCCTGTCTAATTGAATTTAAAATCGTAGAGAAGGCAACGGAAACGTACCATACCATCTTCTTAATAAGTTATCGCAATTCACGAATAATAAAGAAATGTAATCACAGAAGAACCATGATTGTAGTGTCGTAATTAACAGAAGTCTACAACTCAAATACACGCACACAAAACTACTTTATATATAAAACTAAACTGATAAAGAAATCTACGACATATTGGAATTTTTCGTACTGAATTTGAGAGAAAATAAAGATTTTTTTTTTTGTTTGGTTCTTGTTTTGTAAATCTGAAGTGGGATTTTACAGATCATGCTTCCAAAATTTTAAAGAATTCTTTTCAATGCAAAAGATGAAACTATTTTTTTTTAAATTTCAAAATAGATTGTAAAACGACAATAGTGAAAAAAATTCTACAGAATAAATTTGTATCTGCATACGATTCCTCTCAGGTAAAACAAACATTTAAAAACAATTAGGAATTCCTTTATTTCTCTGTGTCTCTTACCACTTGACATTAATCCTTTTTTTTCTTTCCTCACATTTTTCTTAAGGACAACCTTTTGCATTCAGATCTCATTGAAACTAGGAGAAGACACAAAAACAAAAAAAATGTCATGAATAAAATATGAAAATCTGCTCCTTTGTTTTACATTTTGTTTGCGGCGTATTAAAAAGACGAACCGTATTTATGAGAATCGTAACTTAAACTAACGTCACCTTTTACTTTTAGAGTTGTCAAGAAGAGCTCTTGCTTTTATTGAGTTAATACGCAATCGAAAAGAAATATGCATATCATAAAACGTTTTCACTACCTACCTACCCACGGACTAATCCATAAAATATTTAAATCGTAGAGACTAACTATTTCTCTGATCCACTTATGTACGGACGGCTACGTGAAGACGATTGCTTTGCGTCAGTCTTTTCAATTGTTGCTTGTCTTGGAAACCATAGCTCAATATGCTGATGAAATATTAGGTGAGAATGTGCCGTCACATTTGAAAATGAAAAAGAAAGTAATTCTTCAGTAGCTGTCTATATTTCTGAGATGAGGTATCATGTAGACTATTTACATTATTCGGGCTATTGAACTCCTATTTGTTCCCATATTTATCACAACATTTCGGCCGTTGTACGCTCCGGCCTTCTACAGGTAGTTGTAATGTCATCAGGACAACCTTCAAAAACTGGACAGCACTTTGAAGATAACTCCCCCGAGTAAGACCCCGATAGAGAACATGACTAAAGACTGTGTGTACGCCATCCAGTTTAGCTGCGTAAAGAAATAAAAGGGGAGACAGGCCGCCCTTTTAAGGTAAGGCTTCAAGAACACCAGAAAGCTGTAACACGAGGGGAAGTGGAAAAATCAGGCATGGCTGAACAGATATGGAGAGAAAAGGGGGATCACCGCCCTCTGTGGGATCAGGTTGAAATCATAGACAAAGAACATCACTGGAAAATTCGAAAACTTAACGAATCAGAACATATGCTAGGCCACAGAAATCTCTTGAGCCGACCAAGCATAGAAATGAATACAACCTGTAATAAGGAGTGCCAGAGAAAAGCGATTATAACAACGAAAATGGCAATATGAACGCTGGTAAAAAGCATGAAATGATAACAGCAAAAATTTTAATATGGGCACTGGTAAAAAATGACTGCTGTGTACATTAAGTTTATAAGTCCCAGAAATTCATACACAGATGGCCTTAACGACACATGGCACAGTGGATATTGTGAGTTCAATACATGATTAAGACAGTGGAGAACTTAGACAGGAGAATTAACATGAGATAACTGACAACCGACATCCGTTATAGATGGCACATGGAACAGCTTACCCCAGCGAGTGAAATAAAGGGTTCAGTTCGACATTCCAACCACCAACTACCGAATGTAGGAGTTCGCGATTTCTTATTTGCACATTGCAAGCGTAAGAACGAGAATGTTAGGCAGATGGATATGTAGAAAACAACCCCAGAGAAAATCTAGGCAGTTTATCACACATCGCAGGATGAGATTGTCGGGACCTCCTGTCGGATCGAAGCGCAATAACGGGGATCGCATATCAATGACTGACTAGAAGTAACTGTTGAAATATCGCAGTGAAATAACTTCAAAACTTTGCTGTTATGCCCACCATAGAAACAGATATGAATGTCCATCTGGAACCTTTCTCTAGGAATAGTTAATCTGTAATGACCCTAATATGAATTGGGTTTCTCCTAAGATATATCAAACTACATTTTGTACTCGGTGTCACCTCGGAATGTTAAAAAACATAAAAGCTTCGACGCTTCACCTAGAAGGTGGCCTCAAAGAGTCCAACTGAAGAATATGTCGTCAAAAGATATTCATTTATTGATTGATTCGTTTTCTACGGCTTATCAGTCCATTCCAGGTCATTTAAAGCCAGAAGATATTTTATATTGTAAGATTTTTTTTATGATAACAGTCTTCTAATTAACCCATAGCTAGAGGAGAAAAGTTGGATATATTTTTTTCATCGTTATTTGCGCATAATTGAATATAACAAAACCAACTGTAATTCGAACTCAACTCTTTGATTAACAATTCTGATTCATTATGCTTTACACCACCCGCACATCCAAGCTTACAACACCTGGTATTTCCAAGAAGTCAACCATCTAAAAACTGACCAGGTTCGACGTTTCCTGAATCTGATAATCGTACGGGATACGGTGTTTCGAAACTATATGGCCATAAAAAATATGTTTATGGATACACCAACATAAAGTGAACCTAGCTGAATTTCAGATATTCACGCTTTAGACAAGTGGATAATATCAAGTTAGAAAAATGTCCGATGTTCAACGGAGTGACCGAATTCCTACAATCTTCGCAGGAAGAAGATCGAACTTTTGAAGAAAGACCCGAAAACATATACCCTTGATGCGGCCGATGGTAGTGGGTCGGGAAGTGAATGGACAATTTTAACTCGGTTCATCTCTCCCATTTTTCATACTGGTAAACGTTCATACGTTTCCGCTTCTATAGAAATACACTACGTCATCTCTGATGTCAATTTACGTTCCCGTCAAATCTTTAGAATTGTAAATCCCCGGCTCCAAATAGTAATCCTATAATAATTATTTGTTTTTCCTTTTCATATCTAACGGCCAAACTCTTTGTTTCATTTGTCTCGGTGACATTTTGCGTTGACAGGTTTTAAAAAAAATTATAATTCTTTCTTCTTCAGAATGAGGTTACTAGGCCGCGCATCCAAAATATAATATTTTTCTTTTTTCAACTTATTATTATGATTATACACCACTTCCTGTCATTTTTTTTTTACCATGAATATTTTTAACATTTTGTTGACCCTATTCTGCTATCCCACTCACACGGGCGTGAGGGTAGTGTATGGATAGCAGCTCGAAATAAGAAATCAGGAAGACAGTTTCAAATAACAGCCGAATTCGTAATATTCACCTACGCAGAAACACCCATGGAAAAAGTATGAATCTCCCCCCAGGTAAGAGTTAAATAGTCAGACCTTATATGAAAAAATAATTATTTAAAAAAATTGTTAATGCAACATTTAGTAATATATATATATATATATATATATATATATATATATATATATATACATATGTGTGTGTGTGTGTCAGTGTGTGTGTGTATGTATGTATATATACTTAGAATCCAAAATATGGTTTAATAAACCTGAAAGGGTTGATAAACCGTAAAAAATGTATAAACCAATCTGTTAATATCTATAAATATAGGCTCGTTTAGTAGGTTACCCTGTGTATCCGTTAGCTTCTTTTGACTTCTTCATTTCAAGGTAATGTTATATATTTCGATAACGTCTTTTTTGTTATATGCCACAGCAATTTCATATATTTTTTTCTGACTGTAAGTTAATATTTTTGTCGATGGTGATGTTAGCATTAGTCAGTAAAATCACATCTTCGTTGTTTTAAGTTTCTTTATCATCTGTGGGGAGATTGTCCAGCATTCACTGGCACATAGGGAATTATATATAACACTATAGTTCAACTCATTTTTGTTTTGTTCGGTTTCTACTGATATTTTCATGCTTTGCTCATACTATGCACCTTCGGATTTCTGTGTATCTATGTATGTTTGTATATATGTATACACTTTGGTATGTAGATTTTACTCATAGTACTAAGATTATGTGTGCACATAAATCTAGTTGTTGTATTTAAATGTGTTGCTTTATGTCAATTATAAATCAAGGCTTGTCATGTGTTACCACTTTATAATGATAAAGTGGTAATATTTTTGTATTTCTTTTTATATGCTAACTACTTTCACCATGTGGGCACTCATGACTCCCAACAATTTTTTTGTCTTTTGTTGCTCTAAGTCATTTTTTGTCCTTGTTTTGCCATCATTCATATAAACTCTTCAAGTAGGTTTCTCAAAGCTTTCCCTGCTTCTGTTAACTTCAGTACATGCTTTAAGTGTTAAATTCTCTAAACCCTCTTTTTCTCATGATATGCTTCAGAAATTTCATCTTTCTACTTCTGATTGCAAGTATCAGTTTCTTAGAATTTCTATTTTCTTTGGCTTATGGATGTATCACATTGAAACACTGGTTCTCATTCAATCACTGAAGTTAAGCAATGTCAAGCCTGGTTAGTATCTAGATGGGTGACTTCTTGGGAATATCAGGTACTGTAAGCTTGGATGTGTGGGCAGTGTAATGGATAACAGCTTGGAATTGGAAATTGAAGAGCAGAGTTCCAATTCCAGTCAGGTTCATTCATACAAACTTTTCAAGTAGGTTACTCGCAGGTTTCCCCTGCTTCTCTTATCTTCAGTCCGCGCTTTAAGTATTAAATTCTCTAGACACTCTTTTTTCATTATATGTTTCAGAAATGTCATCTTTCCCGCTTTGATTTTAAGTATTAGTTTCCCTTGACTTCCCGTCGGTTCGATAAAGTCAAATTGGCAGCTGATCTAAGTGAGCTAAAATCTGTTGTCAACTGGGGGAAGGAATGCCTTCCAATTCCATGTCTGACACTAACTTCCAGGAGAATGACTCTTTGCACCTTCTCGGGCTTACGTTTTCTGCTGACATGTAGTGGAAATACTATATTGAATCAATTGCTAGGTCTGCTGCTGGGAAACTTGTTTCTCTTCTTTCTCTCACATATTTATAAGGCTACTATTCGCTCGAATATTGTTGCTACATTGTTATATAGGAATAAATTGTCACTGTTGACACTTGGGTTTGAACATAGATCGCCAGAGCAAACACAGGCGATCCCGTTATTGACTTAAGTAGACCACGTGAACATAGAGGAAACGCATAAGTAGGTAGTAGAGTGAAGTCTAAACGATCGTTATATTCTAGTCTATCCTCTATAATCTTCGGATACTTATTTATATTCTATCTTCTATTAATATACGGATCACCATTTCTAGTCTATCCTCTATTACTATACTGACCACTATTCTCTACTCTATTCACTATACTATTTCTCTACTCGGATCACTATACCGATTACTATTCGAACGAGTATTATCGAGTAAGTACTATTAGTGCGAGTAATATTCGAAGGCTTCTGACACCAGTATTGTTCAACGGCGTACTATAGTTGTATCTACGATTACAAAGTCTCTACTACAACGAGCATTACGAAAGTGACAACGAGTATTCGTTGACATCACAAAACACATATAATCTGATGTTCCTAGATGTTTATAAATTGTTGATAAATTTCAAAGTAATATTTGCAATGTTATTAATCCTTATCTGGCATCACGGTTTCAGTCATATTCACACCGCCGTAATGTAGCTTTGCTTTGAGTTTTCTATAAATACTTTCATGGTAATTGTTCTGATAAACATTGCTCTATGCTGCCCAGACTTTATTTATTTAAGCACAGTACAGAGTGGCAACAAGGACTCGTCATTTAATAGTTGAATTGGCTCGATGTAAAACTAAGTGATTTTTCTAGCAGAATCTTTCCTTGCATTTTGTGGAAATCTCTTCTGGGTTCTTGTTTTTCAACCAATTTGGATCTTCGAACATGTAAATGCAATGTAAATCGTCATGATTACCCTTTTTTAGGGTCCTTGCTCCTTAAAAGTGTTTCTCTTTTTCTTATTCTTTCATGTTCTTTTATTGCTTTGCTTTGAAAACATTAAAAAAGAAAGACTAACTATAAACTCGAATACTCTCATTATGATACAGAATGGAAAAAAGCCAAAAAATATCAATCTTGGTTCATTTAACACATCATTGTCATTTAATACATTCATTGATGTTGATGTCATTTACGCCTTTCTTTCTTTCTTTCTTTCTTTCTTTCTTTCTTTCCTTCTTTCTTTCTTCTTCTTTACCTTCAGGACGTTGGCGAACATTTCACAATTTCCTGTCCTTTGTAGATCTTAATAATCTTTCACACCATCCATTTAATAAAGCTTGCTAGATAGATTATGCATTAGTTTCCTCTGTTCATCTTTCCCTCCATCTATCTTGTGTGTATTAAATTTACCAATATCTATTTCCTCATTGTTTTCTCAAAACGGGCCAGCAGTAACAGTGTTATAAAAATGCAGCTGTAAAATGTTAAGTGTATTTGTCAATGTTTATCAGTGAAGTATAAATTTAAGTATTAATTGTTAAGTTCCGATTCAAACACTTCTGCATGTAAATAGAACTTAATCAAAAGAAATTCATTAGATTTTTGGTGGACTGTGAGACTGTCAACTGTTACATTACCGCAGAAGACACCTGTAGAATAAATGCATATGCGATATCGCATTGAAACAGTTAATGTAAGAAATCTATAAATTCAAGGGAGGTAATACTGTTTAAAACATACAACAGAATTGAAACACATTTAAAGTGTTTAATCTAAATTTTGATAGAATAATGTTAATGGGAAGGTAAAGAGCCGAAAGAGGGAAATGATAGAGAGAGAGGAAATTGTCAGCAGAGAACTTACGGTTATACCTAGCATTTTCTACTGGAAAATAATAAAAATTGATAATATTGATAATTTTGTTTGTCTTTGTCTAACAATGAGCGAATATCAAGCCTTTTCTACTGGAAAATGACCAAATCTGATAATATTGATAATTTAGTTTTTCTTTGTCTAACAGTGAACGAAAAGAAGATGCAGTACATATTAAGGAACGAACTCCCTAGTATATCTTTCGTTAGCTAGGCCAACATTATAACCATTATGGCAGACTATTTTTGAAGCAGTCCAGTTTATATGACGTTTTTAATTCATTGAAATTATAAACTCAAGGGAGATAATAAAGTCAGCGCAGAGACTACTGAATTAAAGTCTTGAATAATAAAATAATCACTATTTTCTTTTATCTTTTCTTCTTTTTAATTTGGTTCATTGAAATGTGTTTAATGTCATAGCAAAATGGATGGCGTTATTTTACAACACAAAATACTTATTACGCGTTTCATTTCTGTGTTAATTCGAATTATTTATGAGAGATTGAAAACATTTGATAAAGAGAACTTTATGATTGTGTGTGACTTTGTTTTCGTTTCATGAGCATACAATCGAATTAAGAGACACGTTGAATGAAAAACGGTGCTTTTTTTTTTTGAACTGAAGTTAATTAACACGGGACAATTATGTCACCCAATAAAGAGAAAATGATTGCAACAAAAATAAACGGAAAAAATAAAACAAAATAATATAATCGCTATTTTAAAAGAAGTCGATGACAAAATAGAAAGTAATCTCACAATTATTTAAGCGTGAAAAAGTCTTCCACCAGTAATAATCATGGTGCTCCGTATACTATCACAAGCACTTAAACGGAGAAAAGAACATAAAACTTTCATATGAAATAAATCGGTTATAGAAAAAAATAACACAGGAAAAATTGTAGGGCATGTTTTGTCTGTTCTGCCCTAGCGTATGGATCTGTGGATGGTCTAATGGATAGCGACTCGGAATTGGAGATCGAAGTCTGAATACCAGTCGAGTTTGTTGCATTCACTTCCGTGTAAATACCCTTAGGATTTTTTTTATCTCCCTCAACTATGAATTAAATAATGGTAGATGTGGTTGAAAAAGTATTTATCATCTCAAAAAAATTGTTAATGCAATATTCACTCTAAAAAAAAAAGTAAGAATTATCATTACAACGCAAAAAATGTTTCAGCTTTAAATAACACGCAGTGTTGATAATCCATAAAAAATACAAATCAAGCAACCAATACCCCACTCGCCATATTCACCTGACCATGGACCAATCGATATTTACGTTTTTCGGGTTCACTTCCACATCATGTTCAAACAGTAATTCCCGTATAATCACCGAAGTTAAGCAAAGTCGAGTCTGGCCAGTACCTAGATGAGTGACCATTTTGGAATTCCAGCCGCTGTAAGCTTGACTTGGAAGTTTGTATGATGGATAATATCCAGAATTGTTAATCGGAGAGCCGAGTTCCAATTTATGTTTGTTATATTCACTTACTTGCAAAATCTCTTGTGAAAAGCATGACTCTGCCTCTTCTTTCTCAGCTATGGGTTAATTAGTAAGATTTTTATCACAAAATCATTGTTATCCCCAAAAAAGATTCTCACAGTGTAAAAATACTTTCTGGCTTTAAATAACCTGTAAAGAGTTGATAAGACGAGGAATAGTTTCAGATGCGAGCTACAATCTGGCAACAGCAGAATCAAGGAAGTACAGAGATTTCGTTATCAGAAAAGTATTATAAAAGACGATGGCAATGCTGACATTCAGATTCGAATAACGATAGTAAAATAACGAATAGTAAAATTTCGTCAGAAACAAAACGCTTTTAATATCTATGTAAATTCTCTATGGCAAGGAATGCTGGATAACTTCCTCACGGATAGATAACAGACTTAAAGAAACGGAAATATGATTGTAGAGGAGGATGCTGAGTATACAATAGAGGGAACCTGTGAGTAAAGCGGGAGTTTTAAGGCAAAGGGCAAAGAAAATGGCTTTTGTATTTACAATAAGAAACAGGCATTTGAAATTTATGAAACATAACGATTAAAGAAAGCTTGGATAATCTGGCGATACTCACAGGACATATTCAAGACAAGAGTGGCACCTCGGCGTAGTTAGAAAGTTTGTCTTGCTAGACCAATTACGACTGAGTAGTGAGCTCGATCCTCACTGGGTGCCCCATAATTTCGGCCTTGTTCCACATCTAAGCTGGGCTTAGAAAATCACCATATTGAAGGCAAGAGAGAGAGAGACAGTCTACCTAACGAGATTGTGCAAATGGATGTTAAAACAAGGATTACAAGGGATATTAGGGGGACAATCATTATTTAGAGCTACTTTGGCTAGTAGGTCGTGGAGATCCATGATCGCTTACGTTCTGATGGAATACGGCAGATAAATGATTTATTTATCCCGCTCCCACCACTGAGACGAGATGTGACACAAATTCGGGTTTAACTTGGGGAAGCCGAGCACGTACACTCCGGTCAGGTACAAAACATTGCCCAGCCCCCGTACGGCAGAGAGAAGTTTTCCTTTTCAATTTGTTCGTATTGAATCAGCGAAACCAATGTAACGGATAGAGAAGAGGATGTTTGCCACCTGACTCCGTTATGCAAACATCCAAAGACATTTACAACGCCGTCAACTGCTGCGATATCGGCGACTGATAATGTCTCTGAAAAAGAGAATTATTCTCTGACGGCTGC